TTCTAGAGCTAAGATAGTTGTGATAGTTGTACAACAGTGTGAATGGAGCTGATGCAAATGAATTGTACACTTTAAAGTTGTTAAACTGGTAAATTTTATGTTGTGTGTTTTTATGACATTAAAAATATCTCTTTTGGTTCTTGGGTGGTAGGGGATTCGCAGCTATATTGTTGCTTATACAGAATGGCAATCTGCTGTATTGGAAAGTGGCATGACAGAGAATCAGAGAAAACTTGGATTCTAGAACAACCTTTGTTATCAACTCACTACAAAGCTTTAGGAAATAAATCACACAATCTCCTTGGACTTGATTTTTTTCTGGCTGTAAAATGAAGGGTTTAAACTAGATGAAATCTAAATTCACTTTCAGCTTCAAAATTCTTTGATTGACCTCACAAATACTGATTTTGAATATGTACTTAATTTGTAACCCTGTTTTGGTTTGTTCTTGCTTCACTTTACAACAGTATGTTTCTAAGTTTATAATAACATAATTATATTTTGAACTTGGTAATATTCAACAACAATAACCCATTTACAAGTATATAGGAATTAAATAAATTTCACAATAACTTGTTACTAGTTAGTCAAAAGTCCCCAAAGTAATCTGAAAATGTATTAGCATATTTGTAAGGAGTATTCCCTTTTTTTTAATGCAAAGATTTTTTTTTGATACTTAATATGTTAGGAATGTGAACTTTTAACTTGTCAAACTATTGTAACATATTTGAAAATTATAATAATTTGATTAAAATGCTGCCTATAAGGCAAAGGGTTTAGTTAATAGAATCCATATGTAATTAAAATGCAGAACTAAATGTAATCAGACTCCAGTGACTAGTGCCTTCATATTGATAGTTTTACAATGGCCTCTGGGGTTGAAAGTTTAAGCGTTGTAGAATGCAACAACACTGCAGAAAACAACTTCACCTGGCAACTTAGCTGTTTCGAAGACATCAACACAGTTGCTTGATAAAATGTGACTACCACAGTCTAGATTTTCATCATTTTAGGAATATCTTCCCTTGGCAGGTGGTTGAAGCACATGCCTGGTGGGCTGGTGGGGAACCACACTCTCCCGCAGTTATATAAACAGCCAGACATGAAGGTCCCTTCTAGGAGCCAAGCCATGACCTTCTTTCTTCCTTTTTTTTTTTTTTTTTTTTTTTTTTTTTTTTTTTAAATCACGGAGTTGCTTAATTTGGGTGAATTCGTTTGAATCATATGAAAGTTATAGACACAACATTATGTACCAAGCCACAAAAAATGTTAAAAAAAATTTCCTGAACTTAAAAAAAAAATTATTTTCTCTGGACAGTTTTAAGAGTCGACATCCTGTGTTAGAGTTCTCTAATCATCACCAGCACAATTTACAATCAGAACACACAGAGAGCCAGTTTTGACCAGCTCATCTGTTGATCTTGGCAAGAGACCCTTCATCTCAGTGTGTGCAGCTGCCACTGGGGACCTGGGGGACTCAGCCGAGAGCCAGAGGAGGGTGGGAAGGGAGGCTGGTCAAGGCATGAACACATAGGCCTGCTTCATTTCAACGGTTGTGTGTTGCTTAAAAAAAAAAAAAAAAAAAAAAAAAAAAAAGTCTTTTTATTTTACTGCTCCCCCCTTCTTTTTAACCTGAAATTAAATGAGTACCGCTCACGAGCCACTGCGCTCCAGGCATAAGGAATTGTAATGTCTGGCTTCCAGAAACTGTCCCGTCAAAATGTGCTTCTGATTAGGTGGCTTAATTACAGCTGTGAAAACAATGTTGATTTAGGCCTCGAGATTCCAGGGCATGTCAGCCGTTATTAGCTAACCTTGGACTGAATCCACCATTTTAAAACTCATACCACTAAAGTCACCCAGCTTGACAACTTTTTATGTAGGCAGAAAATTTGCCAGAAGCAACACATTTTTTATGCAAAATATTGTTGGACACATAGCTTCAGCTACAGCAGCATGAGTGGCCTTTAAAGAGATAGTTAACTTTGCACTTTATCAGGAACAAAGAAGTTCTGTTTGTAAAAACGGTGAGTTTTGAATAGTATTTTTAAAGAGTTGACTGACATAAGAATTAATTTTAATTCCTTTAATTCAGTTTTATTTCAAGTCTAGCATGTTGGTTTAACCACCCAATTTTATTACACCTAAATTTTCCTGACAGTTTCATTTGCTGTTAGGAAATAAAATGGCAATTTTTTTTTTCAACATGGGAAATAATGGCTAGTTTTAAAAACATTATGTTTGAAACTTCCCTTGCCTCAAGCTGGTTCAGACACAACCTCAGTTTACTTTTGGAAGGAAACGAACCTCATTAAATAGTTTGAAATATTTTAATATAATAGAAGTATGTTTTTTCATAGCGTGAAAGTTTATTAGAGTCATGTATTATACCTGCAGGGGAAGTAAAAGTCTTAATAATTATATGGTTTCAATACTTTGGAATTTTCAATACAATTGTCACTGATATCATAAATATTATAATTACATATTTAAAGTAGTTCCAGTTCTATTGTATTTAGATGTCTAAAACTCCTCTTATATGCTGTGAATGTCTTTTATTTGTCAGTATTTTTAAAAAAGTGGCTATTAAGTCGAAAGCAATACCATAAGAGTAAGGTGGGCAGCTGAACAATAAACATAAAGAGTCATATAATTCTAATAATAATTTTGGAAGAAACTTTTTCTTGAAAACTCATGATTTATGCCAAACCAAATACCCAAGAGAGAGCTAAATGATTTCTCCCACACCCAAGACATTAAATCCAACACAGTGGGTGGTCACGGCACATCATTTTCTCCTAGTCAGACTCATTGACCAGTTAACTCACTCACTCTGAACCATGTGTGGACAAGGAAACTTTTGTTCAAGTTGAATTAAGAGTTAATACATAGGTAATTAATTGTGAGGAATGGATGTGTGAATAGTCGTGTTGATGATATAGGATGTGTGTATGAAGAGAAAGTTGGGCAACTGATTCAGCATGCTTTAATTTAGTAATCCCATCTTCTAAATAGCATCCAATTGCCAGAGACCTATTACAGCTGCATTCATTCCATCTATCATTTAATGTAATCTGCATATCAGTCTTATAAGAGAAATACTATTTCCCCGTGTTGCAGATGAGGCCACTCAGTCCCCAAGAGGATAAGTAATTTGCCCAAGATCATGCTGTTTGGGAACCAGAATGGAACCCTTGTCTGTGTCCAAAGCCCACACTCTAACCAAAGATGGAAATAGATACTTTTCTTAGAAAAGTATTCCAGGCTATGGAATAGAATGGAAACATTAAGAATGACGAAGTTTCTGTTGACTTACCTTTAGGCTTTGTTAAGAGACGAGCATTTAAACTTGAATAAAAGTTTTATAGTTTTCTGTGCAAAAAAAGGCCTTTTTTTCCTTTCTTTCAGTAAAAAAACGACCGTGTATGAAGACTGACAATTTCACTGGGTCTGTGGTTAAGGCTTTTACCTAGAACAAAAGGACCTTCCTTTATTCCTTTGAGGTTGCTTTATGCACATAGAATTGAAAGTGTGCATCCTTCCATGTTATACTGGTTTGAAGATGCTGCGTTTGTTCTTAAGAGTCTATGTTAGCTTAGGATCCGGGAAGAAATAGCTTCTTCGTTCCCAGAACTTTGGCTTAGGGCATACTTTGATAGCATCTGAATTCAGCTTATTCTTTTGGATAGCCTTTTGTTCTCAATGTTTGCCTGACACCGATTGGAAAGATACGCTTCCAGAATGTAAGGGGTCAACTAAGGTTACAGCTTTATGTTTCTAGTCTCCTCCATCTTATTTCTGATGGCTTCTAACTGAAAATATGCATGTGGCTGAAAAATGTGCCATGTGGATTGTATACAGTGTAGATTATATCTGATTCCAAATTATGTAGCCCAATTTAAACTTCATTAGCTTGTTTGGAAAAATTCAGTTATCAAAAATCTAAGCTTGTGTCTAGTTGTTTCTCACTCTCTGCCGGTTCAGGGTTGATCTATTATTAAGGTGATCTGTTACAACTGATTATTATTGAAAATGGTCTCCTTTCCTCCCTTTCTAGGGGAAAGGAAAAAAGGTGAATTTTAGCTATATTAGAATTGTCCACCGAGATCAAGGATTGTGTCTTTGTGTATATCTTATTCAGTACCTAGCATACTATTTGAGTACAATAAATAAGTAACAATGGTGATGGTGAGGAATATTCTATTAAACAATCTGTAGTCTTTAAAAATAATACAAAAAATAAAAGTACTAATTTTTCAAATTCTAAGTAAAGAGTGTTGTAGGATATATATTTGACATGTATAGGAATCACCATTTCTGCGATAAATAATCCTTAGGTTGATATTTCACACTTTAGGGGAAAAATACTGATTTATTTTTCTTAAGAAATGTAAATATGTAAGGCATTATAGAAATTTTATACTATGATTAAGAGCTCCTATAACATTAATAGCAATGAACAACAGCAAATGATTAAAAAAAAAAAAAAGGGAAACAAAATAGTTTAAGAATCTGGTGGTAGGAATGTCAGCCCCCTTAGGAATAGCCCAAACCCTGAACTTCAGTTGCTGAACCCAAACGAAACTGAGTAAGCAGACGGGTCCCGAGTTAAACTGCTGGCTGTCTTGTCAGCTCTGTTTGATGTTAGTTTTCCCTTTGAAGATTCCTGTTTCCTATCAAGTTCATGGCAGCCTAGTAATGATTCTGTGTTACACGTGTGCTTCTCAGCATTGTTAACAGCTTTGTCACTATTGTCATTGATGCATTTAATTCAGTGACCCTGGAAGTGATTGGCATGCTGGCTGGGGCCAGGGGAGGGGTTTCATTTGTTGGAGGATGAGAAGAGTAGCAATCTTTAAAAGGATGTATAAAAAGTCCTTTTTAGATCAGTACCAGAAACAATTACTTATGGATTCTGAATTTCTGAAAACCACACGGGGGTATATCATATACAGCAGCAATTTTTAATTGGTGTGCTGCAAGAACATGCAATCTCTGACTACTTAGGGGCACTAACCTCTTTTCACTTAGATTGTCAAATACAAAAATGACAACAGCCAAAACAACAATAGCTCTCTGGTGTGAATGTCCTGTCTCGAACCTTTAATGTATAGATCACATAGTAACTTGTACGTATTGGTTACATCGCATAATAAGGTTGCCTCTGATTAGTTAATTCTTGGTACTAGAAATCCTTATATACAAGTGTAGGCACCTGATTTTTAAATACCAGAAAGGGTAGGTAATTACTATTATTGTGGGATTTGTTTGTTTTTGCAAATAAATCAAAATTATACCTGATTTTTTTTTCAGATGGGAAAAATATAATATATATTTTGGTGTGTTGTAGACTTTTAATAATTATTTTATGTCTGTGATGAGATGGAAAAAGTTGAAAATTGCTGATATACAAGATGGTAAGAAATTGTGCTTGTTTTTATTTCTGTAATTGCTGAGAGCACTATATAGTTTAAGAAAAAAACAGGCTCAATGACATAATAATTAAGCATGTCAAAGCAATGAGTTAATATTTATTCAGTGAAGAAACCCCAGCTTGAAAATCGTAATTTATTTTGAGATCATATAGGAAAATTGAGACATAGTCCCCCAGTTATCTATGATGGGATTTATTATGCACTTGGGGCTCTACATTTATGTTTGAGTTATCAAGTGATTCCATTCTCACTCTCCTTCCAAGGTTCCAGTTTGGTTCAGGATGATTCTTAATTTTGAAGAGATCTTGGGAGCATTGGAAAACCCTCTCCTTTGTGATTCTTAACAGTTTAGGAAAACAGAAAGGGTCACATCCCATGAACCAACTGACTCTCAGGGAGTGTGCTAGTACCTGCACTCATTCAGGCCTGACCTGCTGCTTGTCTAATACTAGATCTAATACTGACCTGCAGGCCTACTTACATTTTTGATTTTGCTAAATGTGGGGTCTGGAAGTCAGGTATCGTGTTTAATCATCCTTATAGCTTTACTACTATTTTATGCTTCACTCATTGCTAAGTGCCCAACAAAAGTTTGTCAAGTCAATGAATTTTGTTCCCTTTTCAAGAGTTCTAAAATCTTCTATCTAGAGCTTTTTCAGTTCCCATATTTTATGCAAGAAAGACAGTTGTATCTGCACATGGATTGAGTACAAAAAGGCATAACAAAGAGATGCGGAATTATAATCTTGCTGGTGAATTAGGACAGACTCGCATAAAGTAGTAAGATGATAAGTGCTCATGAAGTTTGAAAAGACAGATTTATTTGGACTGGGGAGGTTAGGGAATATTTTTGAGAATTTGTATTTGAGCTTAATTTTGAAGGAATGATGGGATTTGTGTAAGCCATTCTGGACAGGGAGAACTATGGAAGCAGAAAGAGGATGCTACTGTCCCATACAATTAAGGCCAAGCCGGGAGATTTTTATTTAAAAAAAAAAAAAAGAAGATGATAATTTTGTCTTTTAATGTAATTCTTTACAGTTTCAAAATACACCCATGTACATAACCTTATAACTTTTTTGGTGTGTGATAAAGATGTTATTGATGAGATTCTGACAGGCCGGGCCATTTGTGCATCATCCAGCTAGAGAGCCAAAGAGCTAAGCCTGCCACTGGCTCTCTGTGGCCACCACTTTCCTTTTGGCCTTAAATCATCTATATGTTCTTATTGAAGCTCTCCCTCCCTCTCCCCCTCCCTTGTGACCAAGGTAAAGTATCTTCCAGGTAGAGGCACAGTCTATGAACATGAAACAGAATAGGGCTTGCTTATGTATCTGGTTTGTTTTTGAGCCAGAAGGTTGGTAATAGACAGGAAGAGGAGGAGAGGGAAAATTAACATTTATCCAGTACTTCTTTGCGTGTGTAAGACAACATTCTCAGAACCTATGTGTTAACTTTTTAAATACTTACAACACCTGTATGGGTGTACATAATTTTTTCGGAACCATTATCATCTCCATATTGTATGGCTTACTAAGTGTTGAACAAGGCAGTCCAACTCAGGAGCTTTACAGTGGAGGGTGTGTAGGCTCTGGGGTGGGATCATTCAAAGCCTGGCTTCACCGCTTGCTAACAGTGTGATCCTGGTTCAATTGGCAGCCTCTTCAAGAATGCTTCAGTTTCCTCAGATGGGAAAATGAGGATAATAACAGCTCCTCTCTTTAGGCTTGTGTGAAGATTAAAGGAAAGGATACCTGTAAAGTCCCTGCTGTTATGACTAATGCCATTTCTATGATGTTCTAATCGGTTGAGCATAGATTATAATTTTTACTTGTTCTCAAAATAGGAAAGAACTACCAAGGCCTCAAAATAAACCCCCTATCTTCAGAGAACATTGTATTAGCCTAAGAATGCCTTCTGATGGGCATTTTGGTATTTTTGCTGAAAAACATTATGTTAGTTAGATTTCAAGATCTGTTGTTAAATGCCTGGCTTATTATTGGCAGGGGAAGATAGTACTTTTATAGTTTAGTACTTTTTTCAGAACATAGGGATTTTATTTTAGATTGCAAAATTAACATTTTAATCTGCCTCATTTTTGTATAAATAATATCCTATTATAATAAAATTATGCTGAATTAAAAAGTGAAAATCATAATACTAACAAATTAGAGTACTTTGGGATTTGGGAGAGACAGCAAATTGCTATAGCATGAATTTGGATAATGGAACATCAAGCGATGTGTATCATCATTGTTATAAAATTTCTGCATGTATTTATTAGAAGATTATAGTTGCACATATATTATAAAAATTTTGAGACCTTACATTCATAAACATTAAGGTTTTTTTTTTCCATAGAGTGTCTGTGAAATTTTTGGATAACAACTTCTTTATCATGGCATCATTCAATACATGTTAAAAACACCGTATTGCTTTCAGAACATACTCGTTTGTAATGAAAGTAAAATATTTGGCAATTGGAAATGAAGGAAAAAAAGTTAGTGCATTTTAAGGTATAACTAGGCCTCATAAAATATTTGCTCCATTTGCTTAGTAACATTCAAAGACTAAATATGAGCTTTATCAGAAATGATGTTTATGAACAATGCTCTTTAAAAGTTAAATTAGCCACTGTGGAGAACAGTATGGAATTTCCTTAGAAAACTAAAAATGGAACTCCCATTTGACCCACTGATCCCACTTTAGGAATATATCCTAAAGTGGGATCACCAATCAGAAAGGATATATGCACCCCTATGTTCATAGTGGCACAATTTACCATAGCTAGGATTTGGAAACAGCCTAAGTATCCATCAGCAGATGAGTGGATTAAAAAACTGTGGTACATCTACACAATGGAATACTATGCTGCAGTAAAAAAGGAGGAGTTCTTACATGTGCAACAGCATGGATGGACCTGGAGAACATTATGCTAAGCAAAATAAGCCAGTCAAAGAAAGGTAAATATCACATGAAGTCACTCATTTGTGGAATATAGTGAACAACATAAACTGATGAACAGAAACAGATCCAGAGATAGAGAAGCATCAATCAGACCATCAGACCTCAGAGAGAAGGTAGGGGAGGTTGGGGGTAAGTGGGAGAGATCAATTAAAGGACATACATGCATGCATATAAGCCTTACCAATGGACACAGACATGGGGGTGGTGGTGGTGAGGGCATGAAGGAGGGTTTAGGGAACATGGGGGGTGGGTGGGTAAGGACACATATGTACAATAATACCTTAATCAATAAAGAAAAAAAAAAGTTAATTGGGCTTAGGAAGTCTACATATTTTGCTGGACTAATAGTTAAGCTATTATTTAAAACAGTTGGAAGTAGAACTATATAGGTGCCCAGAGCCCCAAATTATAAGAATATTAATCCTAACTCCTTCCTTTTTATGTTATTATAATAATAGTTGGCATGGTAGATTGAATAGAATGCTCTGGAAAATTAATGTTTGCCTAGATCCCCAGAATGTGACCTTATTTGGAAGTAGTGTCTTTGGAGATTTAATCAGTTAAATTAAGATGAGTTCATATTGGCTTAGGCTGGGCCGACCGCCTCACCAGGAGACACACACAGATGTGAGAGACTGAGAGGAAAGGTGGGCACGTGCAGACCGAGCTGATGCAGGTGCAGACCGAGGCGGGCCAGCCACCGCCAGAAGCCAGAAGAAGCAGGAAGGGCTCTTCCCCGGTCTCGGCAGGGAGCATGGCCCTGCTGACACCTTGGTTTCAGACTTCTCCCCTCTAGACCTTTAGAAAGTAAACTGTTTTCAGCCACCGGTCTCTGGTAATTGTTACAGCAGCCGTAGGAAACGGAACCCCGTTGGTAAGTTTCACGTGGGGTTTAGTTTTACAAAAGGCGTTATTCAGGGTAGCTAGCTATAAACTGAAATTAAATTTGAAAGTTTGTCAAATTTTTGTTTATATACCAAATACTAGTAATTATTTTAATTGCAAAGAATAAATCTATTTTCTGATCTGTCTTTAGTTAGAGGACACATAACATATTAACAAAACGTGGCCCGTCATTTTGTGTGTATTTCAGCCCAGGAAGTACTCTATTTTATCAATCCAAATTCCTAGTCTAGTTAAGATATTCAGTAGCTCTGGGATAGAAAAATGTAAAGCTACTTTTAGGAGAGAAAAAGGAATTAAAAACATTTAAAAATGGTATCCGAGTAGAACCTTAAAATAAGCCATTTACTCACATTCCTTAAAAATTCTGTAAATAATGACATCTTCCTCAAATTAGATTTAACAAGCTATGGAATCCTTAAAGTAGGAGGATAAATAAAAATGTCTATGGAACAATAAATAATTTTTTGTCTTTATGCTGGTTCTTTTATTTGTTCAGAAATATATAAGCATCTTCCCAAATTCTTACTGATTTTAAAAAAATTTAGGTATTTTTAATTTTCATTGAGTTCTATAAAACTTATACCATCAGAATTCAAAGTTTCAAATTCACCACTCATACTCTTTTATTTATTTATTTATTTATTTATTTATTCCACTTCCTTTTATTTATTTTACCACTCATACCCTTCATGGACAGTTTTTATTCTTTACATTATCTGAAATAAAGCAATAATCAAGAGTCCCCAATTATTGCTTTGACAAGTATCTATTGAGTACTTATTATGTGCTATGTTCTTCACCAGAAATT